TCAATTAATATCAACCACACAAACTCACTTTTCTTAAAACTCGTGCCACCATCTCCTGTCCCATTTAAAAGGGGACGGAGGGAGTATGTTTTAAGACTATAAAATTTCAACTCAATTAAAAACATCATATTACTCTTATTAGTATTATTATATGAGGACATTAGAATGTGTAGAATGTTTAAGGAGATTTGTTCTAATATAATATGGAGTTCTAAATACATAGTATGTTTTAAGCCTATAAAATTTCAACTCAATTAAAAACATCATATTACTCTTATTAGTTTTATTATTTGTATTGATTTGAAAAAAACAGTATATTGCACTATTTTTTTGTACGATTTTTTTTTGTTTTCCTTAATTTTGCCAAACAGTTTATTCTAATCAGTTTATAAATTAATTTAGAAAAAAAAAGTTTATTTTTTTAAGAAAAACAGTTTATTAAATACATAGTCTATTCTTAATTTTTTATTTTGTAAAATAATTTCAGGTATACTTAAACAGTTCATTATTATATTTTTTATACTATAATTTTGAAGAGTTTATTTCGAAAATCAGTTTTTTAATTTTTATTCTAAAATAATTTCGTATGTTTTTTGTTTATTATATATTTTGTAAAATTATAATTAAACATATTAAACTTTTTTGCAAGTTTAACATGAGGGGGCATTATGTTTTAAATAACTTGGGAATATCTTTTAAATTCTATCTATTGAATAATAATCCTAATAAATGTCCAAAAATTTCTATTGAGCATGCTTTATTATAAGTCCGAAAATAATTCCCAAAATAACCTAAAAACATTAGAACATTCATGCATATGGTTTAAACAAAAAAGAATTCATGTTTAAGCATGGATATTGAACATATAAACAAAAAAGAAAAACAAATTGTATCAAACTATAATTTAAGCATGCATATTAAACTTCAAACTAAAAAAAAATTATCAACTTTAAACATGCAAATTAATATTGTACGAAAATATATTTTAATAAATTCAACAAGTAGAGCATGCATATGGAAAATTTAAGTATGCATTTGAGTACATAGATCATGCATTTGGGTATATTTAAACAAATAGAGCATGCATTTTAATAATAATAATAATAATAATAATAATAATAATAATAATAATAATAATAATAATAATAATAATAATAATAATAATAATAATAATAATAATAATAATAATAATAATAATAATAATAATAATAATAATAATAATAATAATAATAATAATAATAATAATAATAATAATAATAATAATAATAATAATAATAATAATAATAATAATAATAATAATAATAATAATAATAATAATAATAATAATAATAATAATAATAATAATAATAATAATAATAATAATAATAATAATAATAATAATAATAATAATAATAATAATAATAATAATAATAATAATAATAATAATAATAATAATAATAATAATAATAATAATAATAATAATAATAATAATAATAATAATAATAATAATAATAATAGTAATAATAATAGTAATAATAATAGTAATAATAATAGTAATAATAATAGTAATAATAATAGTAATAATAATAGTAATAATAATAGTAATAATAATAGATAATAGTAATAATAATAGTAATAATAATAGTAATAATAATAGTAATAATAGTAATAATAATAGTAATAATAATAGTAATAATAGTAATAATAGTAATAATAGTAATAATAATAGTAATAATAGTAATAATAGTAATAATAGTAATAATAGTAATAATAGTAATAATAATAATAATAATAATAATAATAATAATAATAATAATAATAATAATAATAATAATAATAATAATAATAATAATAATAATAATAATAATAATAATAATAATAATAATAATAATAATAATAATAATAATAATAATAATAATAATAATAATAATAATAATAATAATAATAATAATAATAATAATAATAATAATAATAATAATAATAATAATAATAATAATAATAATAATAATAATAATAATAATAATAATAATAATAATAATAATAATAATAATAATAATAATAATAATAATAATAATAATAATAATAATAATAATAATAATAATAATAATAATAATAATAATAATAATAATAATAATAATAATAATAATAATAATAATAATAATAATAATAATAATAATAATAATAATAATAATAATAATAATAATAATAATAATAATAATAATAATAATAATAATAATAATAATAATAATAATAATAATAATAATAATAATAATAATAATAATAATAATAATAATAATAATAATAATAATAATAATAAGGGAAAATGGAAACTAATAATCCAACCTTTTAGCCGTCTTCTTACAATAGTTCCACCTTTTCGTTATTCACAATAATCCAACATTTGCACCTCATCTTCATTCGCTGGTCCCTGACCGGTTAATGACCTGCTATTCCATGTTATTTTCTTATCTTTGCAAGATATTATCTTTGTGAAAGGTGAGATTTATGGTATAATGGTTTGTAAAGATAAGAAAATAACTTGCAATAGCAGGTCATCAACCGGTCAGGGACTATTGAATGAAGATGAAGTGCAAAAGTTGTATTATTGGATTATTCATAATAATAATAATAACAAAACATGTTTTTTTTTGTATTTTAAAAAAGTTATAATCAATTATTATAAATACGAAAAAATTAATAAAAGTTAGAACATGTAACCTTGGTCAAACGAAGAGGAGAGAAAGCGGTTTCAAGATAAAGGTATCAGCGGCAGACGGCAGAGGATGGCGGCGGTGGTGCACTGACTTGGGCGGTGGACGGAAGACTAAGAGAGAAGGCAGAAGAAATTTGGGGGAAAATTAAGTTTTGTAAACGTAAGTTGGAAAAAAATCTAAGCGTTGTTTATATATAGAAGTTTGTCACGGATGGGTCCGTGACAAAGTCCATGACAAGATTCAAAATTTGAATCTTGTCACGGACCCCGACCGTGACAAGCCCATTGGAGTTTGATAAGTTTACCAAAAATAAGTTTGACAAGCCCATTCTGGAGACTGAGCACTTTTGTGTACATCGTTTAACAAAAATTGCATGTCGGGTTGGGCCAGTAGGAGCAGGGAATATAGAATATGGATTAAATGTTGAAAAAATGTGTTAAAAATTACATTAAATGGTCAACTTTGGGCAATATTTTGTGTGGGATCCACTTTCGATTTATGTTGGATCAAAGTGATTTCAGATTGCCATTGTTAATTGATATGGTGAATTTCCTATTATGTATGTTTGTATTTTTAACTAGTTTTATTAGTTCTAGTTGTGGAAATTACACACTTTTGGTGTAATACTTTATTTTCATTAATTATTTTTAATTTATTTAGATTAGGATTATATTGAGCTTAGGACAGGTCAAAATCATCCCAAGAATCAAAGGATGGATCCTAAAGACCAAAGAATGTGCAAAAAGGAGAAGATCATATGAAGATTTTGAAATTTGTTCAATACTCGGTCGAGTATTGCCAATACTCAGTCGAGTATTGCCTGATATGCTGGTCAAAATCAAATCTGGGAGCAAAAGAACGTGACTGAATATTTGATGCAAATCATGTCTCATACTCGGTCGAGTATTGGCAATACTCGGTCGAGTATGCCTATTTTTCACAATTTCGTGGAAATTTCCTCTCATACTCGGTCGAGTACTGCCAATACTGGATCGAGTACCGAACCCTGCCACCTCTATTTTGCTATAAATACACCTCTTTTCCTTCACATTAAGGGAACGAATTCACATATACTCTTTAGCTCAGTTTAGATTAGTGTTTTCTTTATATTTTCTATCATTATAGTCTCTAAATGAGGAGCTAAACTCTTCCATCTTGGTTTTGCTACTTTAAAGCTTAATGAATTTGTAAGTTGTGAGTTACTCTCTTTAATCTTCTTCCTTGAATATTAATTTTTATTTTAAATACTATTTCTATATCAATGTTGGGGAGTGTTACTAAGATGGCAATTAGTTAACATCTTGACATTAGTTATAGTAATAGTTATTTCTTCCTCTAGGTTAATATTGGGGAGTGTTACTAAGATGACAATTAGTTAACATCTTGATATTAACTATAGTAGGATTCATCTTATTTAATATTCTTCCTTGAGTATTAATTAATTCATATTAATATTTCATATTAATATTTTGAACATTACTTAAAGGATCAACTAGTTTTATTTCATATATTAATTATTACTAGAATCGATCGACGAATACGCTTGTTAATCGTTTGATCGTTTCACGGTAGTAAACTTGGGTTATGAATGCATGTGTTTCATGGTTAATAAACCAATGGGAATTAATTATGTTGATTAAACCAATAAACCGCTTGTGTTGAGGTAATCAATCTCAATCGTTTTCATCTTGATTTTATTGCTACTATCGGGTTAATATACGGCGTCTATTCTATATTAACTCGGTAGTAAGTTTTATTAATGAACGCGTCTCGTTATTAATAACTACCCTCGATGAACTGGATATATTCCTCGATTGAGTATTCGAGAGAAAGATAGTTAAAGATATAACTGGGATCGACGAACATTTCATTAAGTGGATAAAAGCAAAACCAAGTCCCCATCTCTATTAATTAAACTCATTTAAGTCGTTCATCTTAGTGTTAATTAAATTAAATCAAATCAAATCTAAAACCCCCCTTGTTACTAGTTATATAAAAAGAGAAGTATTCATTTCCATGTGGATACGAACCTTACTTCGCTATACTACGTATCAGTGTCGTATTGTATTATTACTTTGAGTGTACACCACGACAAAATGCACGTCATTAATGGCTACAATTGGACATGTGGTATATTCAAAACGGATGACAGTTGAATGAGAAATTGATTCTCAAATTTCACTCGTTGAAATGGAGAAAATTAGGAAAATGATGAGTTTGTGGGTATTTTATAATTTTTTGAGGTCTAGTTTATTCATGTCTAGTTAGTTAATTTGCTCTCAAAAAAAGTTAGACTTGAATATGATTTAGTGGAGAAAATTAAGGGATATATTTGCATCTACCACAAGTTCTCCCCAGGTTGTTAACTACTAAGGGGGATATGCCCTCTTTTAATGGAAAAGGGAGTGTTTTTCGCTCCAGGGATTTGCCCATTTTCTCAATCCAAAACCATGCTTGCTCTCCTGCATTAAAATATATATCTCATCTTATCTTTAGCAAAGTTTTTTGAATTACGAACGGTGAATCTCAAATGGCTCCCGTTACAAGTAAGAATTGTCCCTGCCCTTTGTTTTATTTAATTCGACTCCGTCATTCTTTCTGAATAGATGCGACGAAAATAGAGTGAGAAACAAGGTATAAAATCGGATTTGTATGTTTCGTAAATGTTGAATTTCATTGCGTTTTGCGATAATCTGCTTGACTTATCGAGGAGGGGGAGGGTTATAAAAAGTATAGGCCGTTCCTTGGTCCGCTAATTTAATCGAACTTTGATCCGGTTCGTCGTTGGCCTCAGACGAAGCTTTTTCGTGATCAAGGCTGTGGGGTTGGGTTGGGAAAAGACAGGAGCACAATCAATGGAATCTTGTTCGTATCTATAGTTTTATGCGGCATCTTTCTTTAGTCCGTATTTAGAAATAAGATTTACCTTCGAATTGAACTTGTATGTTCTGTTTTTTTTATGCTTCCAGTTTTATTACAAATTGGTAGGATTGCTCTGGTTGTGGAGGTGGAGATCCTTCTAGTGGTTTAGGCAATTCCTTGAGCCGTTGATAAGTTGTTTCAACTTGTATTTGGCATTTTGATCTAGTGGGTTTGGCTGAGGGTTTGGGGAAGGCCAGAGGTTAAATGAATAGAATTATCTTCATATTCGAAGTTTTTTTGTCTCTTCATTTTGTGTTTTGTTTGTTTGTCGTGTAAATTTGTCACCAGAATTCTTATTCTGGTTTGTAAAAAACGAAGTACTCCGTACTACCCAGTTGGCCTGGATTTGATGTTTTATTTCATGTGTTTGATAGTTTCACTTTTGAGTATCATTTATATCTAGATATTTTTTTCAATTTAAGATTTAAGTCTGTCATCACTTTCTCTTTCTCAATTTAAGATTTTTCTGAAACATGGGATTTGCAGGGAGTGCGCTGCATCGCTCTGCAGATGAAAAATCTTCCAGCACCAGAAGAGGTTTTGTTTCTGATTTCCTTGTTTGAAATAATCTTGTTTATTTTAACTTGTTTGTGCTTTTATTTTTAATTCATTTCACTTTCATTAGTGTTTTTCTTGTCTTTACATCCTGAGTTTGGCCACTTCTTTCTTCATTCACCCTGGACAATGTGGGATTTGTAGGGAAGAAAGTGTTGCCAGTTGCACAACCTTCAAACAATGGGCGAGGTACTTCATATTATTTGTTTCTATATATGTTTGTTCTGCGCTTGAAACATTATGGATTATTCTCTGGTTGTAAGTTCCTGCTCATTTATTATGTGTTGAATTTTGTCACTCATTCCATGCTTGGTTTTGGGATTTGCAGGGAGAAAGCACTCTGTTGCTACGAAATCTTCGAGCGTCGGGAAAGGTTTTTGCTTCTTCTTGATGCTGGCTGTGTTGAATGATTGCAGGGGTCGAATCATTTCATAAAGATTGGGTCACTAGTTTGTTATGGTTAGGTTATTCTTTCTCCTGAAAGATTGGTATTTTGCAGGGAAGAGGTGTTATTCCGTTGATATGGAGATGGATAAGTGCTGGTGGCTCGAACGCAGTCCAGTTTGGAAGAAATTTAAAACTACAGTAAAGGTAATAATGATGTCTAGAATAATTCATGGCGTGCATATATAGTTTCTTTCTACCATTTAATGCCTTTGCAAAAGAGAGAAATAAGAACAGAATTCGTAAACTTGCAGGAGATTCAAAAAAGTGACAAAGACATGTATACAACATTCCTTAAAATGTACGTTCAGTTTCATTACTACAATGAGTGGACTAATGATGACTCTTTCGTGAAAGCGGTAATCCCGTCATGCATAATCTCTTAGCTAATGTTATTATATGAAAAATATAATAATAATAATCACCATCCATCTTTCTTTGTAGTATAATAAACGAATATTAACAATAACACACGCTTGTGTAACTGTGTTTTGTGCGCAGGTGAGTGAGCATTTTCCACAATATCCACAATTTGTTGAGGCATTATCTGAACTGTTGAAAGCTTACCCAAATTAGAAACCAAAGCCTGCATGCTTCTAGATTAATAGTTTGTGTTTGTTGAATATCTTATCTGGGCACCTTAGGGCAAAAAAGCTTTTAATACTACCTTACTAATCTTTTTTCACATGGACATATGTTTGTTTCACCAATAAATGTTCTCTGTTTATTCCCTTAAGTTGTCGTCTCTGTTCTAAAAATCGTTCGAGGCGTCCAACTAGTCCCCGTCTAGGCGCTAGGCGGTGGACGGGCGCCCCGATTTTCGTTTAGGCGCTCCGACTAATTGATTTGACACCTAGGTGAATTAGTCGGCCGCCTATGACGCCAAGTTGCCTGCCTAGAGCGCCTAATTAGCCACCTAGACTGTTTAGATTCGTCGAACATTACTTCACTTTTTAATTTTAATTTTCTAAGGGATATGCACACTTTAACTTTAGCCATGGATATAAAGAAATGAAGTTGTAAATTAAGATAAAACTATATATGTTTGTATATATACCTAAATTTTATCATTATTTATATTTATAACAAAATGAAGTTAAATGATTAGTTATCATATACGGAGTACTATATATGATGAAATGTGATAATTCTATCATTCATGTTTGTTAATGTATATGTATATATGTATTTTATACATACAAAAATATAATATTACTTATCATATTTATGCAAAAATATAGATAAAAATGCAATTTCTATGTCTTCGATTAGTCCCGACTAGGCGCCCGCCTAGCCGCCTAGGCGCTGGGCTGACCCCGACTAACGCCTATTGTTATACGCCGGGCCGGTTCACTAAACTGGAGGCCCGGGCCCGGACCGGTATACCACCGGGCCCGGACCGGTATACCACCGGGCCAGGAGGCCCGAACCGGAACCGAACCGGTTCACCGGGCCGGTCCGAGCCCGCACAGTAGCGGGCCGGTCCGGTTCCGGGCCGGTTGGCCCGGCCCGAGTCCATCCCTAACTAGGAATAGTATTATGGTCGATTGAATATAAAAATTGAATAAAGTTATTACAAAACATAAACATGTACTACAGTAATTATTTCTAAATTTAAGTTAAAGATCAAAGTAAATTCAAATCGTGGTGAAATATATGAGATCGGAATCTCACCAACAGAGATGATTCTTATGACCTCAAAACAATTGGATTGCTAAGGTTGGAGATGGAATAGTTGGAGAGGACAACAATGGTGGTATGTGTTTCGTGTAAAAATACCAGATGACATCCTTATCAAGTACTCCGATGATCCAATTGCATCAATTAATGGTCGAGAGCATGCATATTCCCAAAGTATCGAAGTTATAATCACAAATTGTCTTTGTTTGGGGATAGTTGTTGCACTTAATTAACGAGTATATAATCAATCTTAATTCCAATGAGGTTTCGAACCATGAACTTGCGTACATTGAAAGTTCGTACTCTGATCATGCTATTGAGGAATAACGATCATTTTATGGGTTTATGTAATAGGACAAAACCGATAACAATTGAGCTTTGTGATCACATAGTGGAGGTTAAAATCCTCAATGGTATGTGTGCAAGTAAAAAAAAATCTTAATTCCAAAACTTTCTTTGACACCTTCGCATACTGGTAGGACACCTTTTACATTTCAGAGGTCACAATATCTCATAATAGCTTCTTATGCAATTACCAAATTTTACCATTAATAAAAGTAGAATATTCACTCTCTCAAGTTAGACTCTTATTGACGAAACATGTTTTTATCATGGGCAACGATGTGTTGACATCTCCAGGATGACAAATCGTGTTGGTCTATAAATGATACTTATTCGTGTTGATGATGATAGATTAAAAGATAAGACCATGTATATATTGTATAAAGAAGTTTTTAATAACATATAAGTTTTCATGTTTTGTTCTTAAATTAAGAGAAATATATTATACTTCATATATATGAAAGCAAGCGTCTCATCGTGAAATGCAATTCCCATCAATGGCGGCCTTCTCCTTTTGACAATTTATCATGCACTATGCATCCATGCTACAAGGTGGTTTCTTCGCCCTTCACACTTGGTCCAGATGTTAAAGGTACTATTATCATAATAAACCACCGTGTAACCATAACTGTGCATCCTTGAACCGTGCATCCCTGAGAACCCAAGCTTCCACAAAATTTATTCATGGTTTGATCCCCTTGCTCACCTTATATAGGTCCCGTTTGTATAACGGTGGATTGAGCAATCCGCTGTTCTTTTTGAACTACAATCCGCTGCTAAAAGGAGCGGGTTGGCATGAATCCGCTGAAAAACAAACAGCCCCTATGGTCTCGAAATATTTTACTTTCTTACTTTCTAAAAATCTATCTATTTTTTTATAAATAGATTAATCCAAATTTTATTCTAATTTTTTTGGAAAACATTTTTTTGAAAAACTTCCCTCTATTTGTAAACTACCCTAAATATGTCCTCCATTTAATGCTCAAGGTTACCATCAGCTTAATTATCTTCCTTGTCACAATATCCTCCCAAAGCGAGACCAAAAAAAAATCCTCCCAAAGCTCTGTTTATTCAACACACTGGGCCCTAATTAGGCTAAGATTGACACACGCCACCATTCCATCCGAATCCGATCTCTACATTCAATTCATATAGCTAATTAATTTCCAATATATCCGATTATTGAAAGCTATTGAAATGAACTAAACTCGGTCTAACACAGTAAATTGAAATATCATTGATTTGCTGTATAATGATTATCGATGCTACAAACAGAATTCCTTCCTTTTGTATCCAAACAAAAATTAATGCAACAAGCATACCAATATACTCCCTCTGTCCCAGGGAGAAGTTCCCGGGTTGACTTTCACACATATTTAGGAAATAAAGTTACTGAGGGGTAAATTTTACTGTTTGGCACTGTTTCAACACTGTTTGAACACTGTTTGGCACTGTTTAGCACTGTTTGACACTGTTTTGATGTAGGATAACTTTCCATTTAGGGAAATGGGAACTTTTTGTTGGGACTACCAAAAAAGGAAAGTGGGAACTTCTCTCTGGGACGGAGGGAGTGCCATATTATGAGATGGGGTGGGCCAGATTCATGACATACTGTGATACTACCTAAAAATAGATTATAATGGAAATGAAAGTGTAAAAGAAAAAAATATTTTAAATCCAAAAGCCAAATTGAAACATAAAATGAACGATAAGTAATTTCTTACAACTGTACCTTATAAAATGCACAACAAAATAAAAGTATTATAAATTGTGTATCTTTTAGTAGTTGTCCCGTTTCTTTTTCATCTAATTTAAGATCATTATTGTACACTTTTGAAAAGAAAGAGGTTTTTGGTACTGTTGCGGTAGGAGTAATGTATCAGTATTGTAGCTGGTCTTGGATGAGTTTCTTTCCAAAAAGAGAAATAGGACAATCAATTTGAAATGTTCCATAAAAGAAATCGGGACAATTAAAGTGATATCGAGGGAGTATTTATGTAGTAGTTAACTCTAGCTAGATAATTTTGTATGTCTACTATGACTAATTATCCTGTCAGGTAGTTCTGACGGGAAGCTCCGTCCGAACTTGCCTATCAAAGGGTCTTTTCGGTGGAACTTTAGATTAAATGTAGTGATGGACCCGGGCCGGGTCGGGCCCGAGCCGGGCCAAGGCCCGGTCAGGCCTCGGGTCTGGTAGATACTTTGGTCAACCAATAATAAAAGTTAAACTTCTTTATCGATAATTAACTCAATTTTTAATAATTAAAATTTACATATTCAAAAACTACATTACATTTTCTTCAAAGTTGCAAACTCCATGATGGATAGTCTACCCGGGGGTATCTTATCCGAGGGGTTATTGCGGGAATAAATAGAGAGAAGTCAGAGCAAAATAGGAGGAGAGAGAGTCGATTTATTAAATGAACTCAGCGTGAGATCTGGGATCGTTTACAAGGAGAAATGAGCTGCTATTTATAGCAGCAATAAATGCGATGAGAGTACACGTGTCAGTAATCCAACGGCCGAAGGGTCACATCAGTCGGGTGGCACCGGCAGTGGTACGTTTACCGCATTGAATGCGGTTGGCGGATGTGACGTGGTATTAAATGCGGTGGTTGGCTGTCTCCAAAAGGAATCTTCGATGATTGAGCATGTTTAGCCGAAGGCTCCTTGTGTAGCCGAGGGCTCCATGTGACAAGGACCCCTGTGTAGCCGAAGGCCTCGTGTGACCGAAGGCTTCGTGTGACCGAAGGCTTTGTTCAGCCGAGGGCTTGACAATGCCGAAGGCTCATGTTTTCTGTCGTTTTCTCCCAGTAGCTTCTTATGCCAGAGAAGGCTATTCTGTGAGTTTTGGAGCCTTCGGCCAAGGAGGCCGAAGGCACCCCAGTATGTATTTTGGGCTATTTTGGGGCTTGGGCCGTTGCATTTGGGCCTGAGTTGTTATCTGGGTTCAATGGATTTATGTAGGAGAAGCAGGAGTCTATGGGCCGGGGGTTCCTGGGCCATATACTCCATCACTCCAATTAGAATATAATTAAAAATTGGCATCTTAATTAAGTAAATAAAATGAAATTGTTTGACTAAGAAAAGTCAAATTTGTAAATCAGTTTGGGACGGGGGTAGTAGTATTTTTAAAAAATATGCAATCTTGGTGTGAAAATAACTTTTTTTCGGAAAAGTGAAAATAACTTTTTATTTAAAGTTCAGGGTACATATTACGGATGTTTTCTTTTGGACTGAAATTTGCTGGTCTGGTCTAGTCTGATCTATTTAAGTCTGGTCTGGTCTGGTCTGAACTGGTCTGGTCTGGTAAACATCTGGTCTATGTGTATTTTATAAATAAGAAATTCTGACCTGGTCTGGTCTGGTCTGTTTAAGTCTGGTCTGGTCTGGTCTGAGACTGAAAACAGTCCAAAAGAAACATCCTACATACTACGTATAAAAAGTTTGGGTAATTATCTCACACTTCATTAAAGTTTAGTATATTGAAATTATTTTCTTCAACATTTATATCTACATGAGTAAAAAGTGCCCCAATAAGCGAATATTCTGGATTCGCCCCTATACAGAGAGAGGCTCAATCCAGGGCACATTGTGAGATCACACGACTTCTACAAGTTCCGATCCTGGGTTGATATCCTAACTTTCCCACCCATTATATTTATGAGTTGAGCTATCGTGTGGGATGGATTGTTTCTTAGAGACTAGAACTTA